CCCGCAGGCAGCCGTGCGGTGGAGGGGCGGGGCGTCGCGAGGCCTCCCAAGGGTCGCCCAGGTCCGAGGACCGTGCGGGCGGCTTAGCGGCGGGCTCTGAGGAGGCCGGCGCGGCGGCAATGCAGGCCCCAAGCGAAGGCGCGGACGACGCGGCGGCCTTGCTGGCTCCCGTCGACGGCGCGGCGGCCACGCAGGCCCCCGACGACGGTGGTGGAAGCGGCGGCGCGGACGGCCAGGACCCCCAGCCCAGCCCCCGGGCCCCCAGCTGCCAGGGCAACTCCAGCAGCCGTGATGGCGACGGCGGCCCTGGCCGCGAGGGGGCGGCGGACGAGGGGGCCGGCGCCCGTCCCCAGGCCGAGCGGGCACCGAGGGCCCTGGCACCCGGTGGAGACGCGGCACCCGCGGCGATGACATCTTCGAGACTGCTGGAGTTGTATCCTTCCCGTGGAGCCTCTGTGGGCCGGGGCCGTGTTGGTGGGGCGGGGGAGCGCGGCGGCCGCCCGGGCAGCAGACGGACGTGGGCGGGACAGGGGCAGTGGGTGCCCGAGGGCCCGCGGCGTGGGCGGAGGTGGCGGGAGGGAGCGCGGGCGTCCCCGGGGCAGAAGCGGACCTCTGAGTGATCGGGACGCCTCCCAGGAGCCCGTGGTGCCTTAACCTGGTCCCCCTCCAGCGTGCTCACTGTGCCTTTCCAGTCGCCCCTGGAGGCGGAGATGGCCCGCAGGACCCTGACCACACATGTCCAACGCCTCCGAGGGGTGGCTCAGAAGCAGCTTTCCGTGAGAGGCAGCGCCCTGGCCGTGTCAGTCCCGGGAGAGTATGCGCGCGAGGGGTGGTGGCGGCCGCGGGGCGGCAGGTGCTGTGGTCCCACCTGTGCCTTAGAGGGCAGTCGTGGAGGCGCTGACGCACGCGCGCCTTTGGTGTAAGAGGGGGGCCGCTGCCCGGCCCCTCCGCACCAGTTCTCCCCTGTAGCCGGATCTCCCTTTTCCCTCACTTTCAGTCGATGGATTGCCGAAGACCCCGCTTCCTTCGGAATTTCCGTCAACTCCTTCCTGGAACGGCTTCCCCTGGTGATGCGAAACATTCGCGCCTTGAGGGCCCGGCCTCCGCGAAGCCTAGGCCCGGGAAAGGGGGCCGCGGCCTAACCTGGCGGCCCTCACTGGGCAGGGCACCGGGGTTGACACTCGGAGTCGT